GCCCAATAGGGGCTGATATCTGCCTTCTTCCTTTGTCAATATACAAGCCCTACCAACACATTCCTTACAACAAGCTCAACTTGTCTAAGGAATGGGGGGCTAGATGATGTGGTCATTCGTAGTGGCTCGTGAGGAACCGGTTTTGATCCGGTCACCATTGTCAATATGAAAGGGACCGATTAAGCATTATGGTAGTCAGGCGGTGGGGAGTGTTTGGCGTCGCACGGTGTTCGACGACCCTCAAGTGCTCGGCATTGGAGGTGGTTGGGATGAAGTGTCTGGTGCGGCATCATCCGGTATGGCGAGTGCCTGGCGTGTGGTGAATGCTCGACGTGGGGTAAGTGTCCGGCGTGAGGAGTACCGTGCGTAGGCGGTGCATGGCACGGGAAGTACCCGGCACAAGGCTCCGGTTGATGTATGTTTGGCATGAGGTGCTCGGCGCGAGGCCTTCAGCGGGTGCTCGGCCTTGGGAGGTGCCCGGCGGCCCTCATGCGCTCGGCGGCCCTCGTGTGTTCGGCGGTCCTCGTATGCCGTCGAGGGGGCTAGAACCTAAAGATGGGCTCGGGATCAAGTTACGAAGGAGTTTGTAGCGACAAGGACTCTTGCAATTCAGGATATTCTTGACCTAATCAAGTAGTTCACACAAGGAAAACTTCTTGTCTCATAAGGACTCTCCAAGTTTCTCCTATAAAAAGGAGCAGGTTCATTTATTTTATATAACACACATACTCGAGTTATCTCGTTACTCTGCCGTTTTCTCTCTAGACCATCACTGACTTGAGCGTCGGAGTGTTCACGTCGGGACCACCCCCGGCGTGCTTTGCAGGTACCGACGACCAAGGAGACACAACTCGGTTCGAGAGGAGCGGTCCAGCGGTTCAAGTATTTGTGGTATAACACGTGTTTTCTAAATGTACCAGATTTTGAGAATAAGTGATGATTGTCGGTCCTATCATGAGTTCTCGACCAAGTCAATAGCTTAGCCTGATGGTTGACTCCACCACCAGGACTCGTGAGCACGCATGCCATATTCTAGCCTCGTAATGGAGGAAATGTGTGCGTGACCTCGAGGTATATGTGTATTGTGACGAGCTGCGTGTTAGGCAGAACCCTACCTGTATGGAGGTACCGATGACCTGATGGGACCGAAAGTCCATCAGGGAAAGCCCGGGAGGGGTACTCGTCAGCGTCCAGTGAGTGTAGTCAAGGTGAGGGCGATACTATTTGGCAGGGGGAGACCGAGATTCGGAGGGAGTACCCGAACCTCACATTTGATGTCCCCTTCTTGTACTCTCTTTACATTCTAGTTGTTGCGTTTTCGAATTCCAAGG